CAACAGTCAACAAAACAAATCAGTCAAAGAGCAAAGGCTGCAGTAGAAATAAAGACGTGTGGGAGTGGGAAAGAGAAAGAGAAGAGAGAGAAGAGAGAAAGAAAGAGAAGAGAAGAGCAGAGATGAGGAGAGGGCTACTAGTCCGGCCGACCAGGAATCACCTAATCAAATTAACAGGTCAGTTTTGTTTTTTTTTTTTTTTCCTTCTCCAGTTCTCCTCTTCTCTTCTCCTCATCTCTCTCTCTCTTCATTTGCTCTAATCTCTATATCTCAGCCTTTAATTTTTTTTTTTTTTCTTCTTCTTCTCTATTTCTCTGATTTTCTTCTTTCTTTTTCTGGGTCTATCAAATTAACAGGTCAGTTTTTTTTTTTCCTTCTCCAGTTCTCCTCTTCTCTTCTCCTCTTCTGTCTCTCTCTTCATTTGCTCTAATCTTTATATCTCGGCCTTTAATTTTTTTTTTTTAATTTTTTTTTTTCTTCTTCTTCTCTATTTCTCTGATTTTCTTCTTTCTTCTTCTGGGTCTATCAAATTAACAGGTCATTTTTTTTTTTTTTTTTCCTTCTCCAGTTCTCCTCTTCACTTCTCCTCTTCTCTCTCTCTCTCTTCATTTGCTCTAATCTCTATATCTCGCCCCTTTTCTTTCTTTTTTTTTCTTTTTCTTCTCTATTTCTCTGATTTTCTTCTTTCTTTTTCTGGGTCTCTAGTAGACTGGTATTTTTTTTTTTCAGGTCTTTTATTTTTTTTCTTCTATCTTTTTCTCTATCTCTGTATATTTTTTTTTTCTTCTTTTTTTTTTCTCCGGCTCTGTTTCTGTTCTTCTGGGTCTTTTTTTTTCTTCCTCCTCTCTATATATCTGGTTTTGTGTTTTTTTAGCTTTCTTTTTCTGGGTCTTTTTTTTTTTTTTTTCTTCTTTCTTTTTCTTCATCTACTCCTCTCCCGTGTCTTGCTATATATATATATATATATAATTTTTTTTTTGTTCTCTCTGGCCTGTATTTTTTTTCTCGTTGTATTTTTTTCCATCATTTTCAACTTCTTGGTGTATAGCTGTAAATCTGTACGCTCTTCAATCTTCATCATCATCAGTCTTCAGCAAACATAGTTTGCAGTGCTATATTACCCGTAGGAGAATCAGTACACCACCTCACCCTTTAATAAAGAAATACCGAACAGAATAAGACTTTTTAAAATTATTATTTTTTTATTGTCTGTTGCATCTTAATTGCTGTAAAATTTCAGACTCTGTTTTTGTTCTCTCTAGCCTTCATTTTTTTTCCCTTCATCTACTCCACCGTATTTTTTATTTTATTTTTTTGTTGTTGTGTTCTGCTGAAATTTGCTACATGGATTATTTAAATTTTGAATGCATATTTTTGAATGGTGTTTGCTGAAAGTGTGAATGTTGTTTGCTGAATTTAACTTGGTCCATCACTCCATTGACTCCATTATATTTCTCATTGTAAATACTAAATAGATAGGAAAAAATGTCAAAGGATCCAGCTTGGAATTATTGTCACCTGCAAAACCCACAAGATAGGAATGCAACAACATGTAATATTTGTGAAAAAGTTATGAAAGGGGGTATTTACAGGGCTAAGCAACACATTGTAGGAGGACATAGAAATGTACAAGCATGTAAAAAGTGCCCTGAACATGTGAAAGAGGAGATTAGAGAATACATGAGCAAGAAGAAAGAAGAAAATGAATACACAAATTTGTTGCCGGATTTTGATGACATGGATGATTAAGATGAGGATGATGTTGCAATTATTGATGTTAAGGGTAAAAGAGTGACAAGTGGAACTGGAAGCAATAATATTCAATCAAAAAAGCAGAAGCAGAAAGGTTCTATTGATTTGTACTTCACCCCTCCTCCGGAAGTGGCTGTGCAAAATAGAAAAAATGACAAGGGTAAGCAAACAACAATTGACAGTGCTTGCAAGAAAGAACTTAGAAACCGAGCATGCCAACGGTTTGCAAGATGGATGTATGATGCCGGGATATCATTCAATGCCCTTAATTATGATAGTTTTGCACTAGTTGTTGAAGCTATTGGCCAACATGGTCCAGGAATGAAACCTCCGTCTTATCATGAGGTGAGAGTTCCCCTCCTCAAGAAAGAACTGGAGCATACAGACAGTTTAATGCGGGATCATAAGGAGGAATGGGCAAAATACGGATGCACAATTATGGCAGATGGATGGGAGGATAAAAGACAGAGGTGTTTGATTAATTTTCTGGTGAATTATCCTAAAGGGACAATGTTCATTCAATCTGTCGATGCTTCCTCTTATTTAAAGATCGGTGAAAAAATGTTCGACTTGCTTAACAAGTTCGTGCAGCAAATTGGAGCAACAAATGTGGTTCAAGTAGTCACTGATAGTGCATCTTCTAATGTTGTGGCAGGTATAGATGTCAATATGCACTTGATGTCAAAATTTTAGGTTTATTGCTTCTAGCCTTCTATTAATCCAAATTTTCTTTCTTTACAATAGGAAGAATGTTGGAGGGAAGGCACCGACATTTGTATTGGTCACCTTGTGCTGCACATTGTGTGGACCTGATGTTGGAGGACATTGCTAAGATCCCAAATATAATGATGACCATAAAGAGAGCTATAATGTTAAATGGTTATATTTATAACCGTTCGGGTTTGTTAAACATGATGAGGCGTTATACTGGACATAGTTGCTTAGACCTGCAATGACTCGATTTGCCACTTCATTTATCACATTATCAAGCATCCATCGTCAAAAGGATTGCTTGAGGAAGATGTTCACTTCACAAGAATGGACCTCCAGTAAATGGGCGAAAGAGATACAAGGGAAAAATGTAGCACATATTGTGTTGATGCCTTCATTTTGGACAAGCATTGTGTACTCTCTCAAAGTAGCAAGCCCTCTTGTTCGTGTACTTAAGTTGGTTGATGGTGAGAGAAGGCCTCCAATGGGATATATTTATGAGGCTATGGAAAGGGCTAAAGAAGCGATAGCTAAAGCTTTTGGTGGGAATGAGGAGAAGTATAAGGACATCTTTGAGATCATTGATAGAAGGTGGAATATCCAACTCCATCGCCCTTTGCATGCAGCTGGGCATTTCTTAAACCCAGAATATTTTTATAGCAATCCAAATATTGAGCAAGATGAAGAAGTGATGGGTGGTTTATATCAATGCATAGAAAGATTGGTTCCAACCACTGAAGTGCAAGATAAAATTTCTTTGGAGTTGAGTAGATATATGAAAGCTGATGGTCTATTTGGCTCATCAATTGCTATTAGACAAAGAAAGTCAAGGGCACCAGGTAAACAACTCAATTAATCATTTTTTAGTATATTTGAATTTTAATTTTGTTAATTTTTTACTAATAATATGTAAATAACAGCCGATTGGTGGTCCGCATATGGTTCTACAACTCCTAATTTGCAAAAATTTGCTATTAAAGTACTTAGCCTCACATGTAGTGCATCTGGGTGTGAACGAAATTGGAGTGTATTTGAACATGTAAGTTTGTAGTATTAGTAATTCAATGATAAAAAATTATATTAGAAATAGTTATACACTTATACTTATTAATTATTTGAATTAATGCAGCTTCATAGCAAGAAGAGGAACCGGCTAACTCAATGTCGATTGAATGATTTGGTTTTCATCAAGTATAATAGAGCACTAAAACGACGATATGATATGCGTGATAGGATCGATCCAATCCTTTTAAATGATATAGATGATAGCAATGAGTGGTTGGTTGGAATAATGGATGAAGATGTAGATGCCGAAAATGAGTCTGTGTTTGAATATGACTCTTTGACATGGGGTGCAGTTGCTAGAGCTACCGGGGCTGGAGAGTCCAGCCATAATTTAAGATCAAGATCAGCTCCAAGGGCAACAAAAAGGACAACATCTTCATGCTCGTCTTCACTACGAATCATAGATGATGACGAGGCAAACTCTGAGGACACAGAAGAGGAAGAAGATGCCGAGGGTTACAAATCTTTTGATGGGGACGATGATGAGACTATGTTGTTTGGTGAAGAGGATGATATTTAGGTCCCTTAAGATTGTTTGGTAACTTTGGTTTTAGGAGTCCTTGCTAAAACTCAAAACTGAAACTGATATTTTGTTGCTTGGTTTATAAATTTGGTAGGCTACTAAGTATTGACTATGATACTTTATAGATTTGGTAGGCTACTAAGTATCTTTTGATGGATCTGTTTTGGAGTCAAATGATAGCTTTTGCTTAAGACATCAAGTATAAATTTATAATATATGGTTAATTGGTTTATGTTTTGCTTTTTTTGAATCTTTCTTATGAATAAATAGCTTTATTAGTTTAATTATTCTATTTTTCTAGTTGCTTTATTGGTTTAATTGTGATATATTTAGACTAATTTAGTGTTTTTATTATTGGATGTTCATTGTTTAATTGTGTTATTTTTGTTAACAATTAGTGTTTTAAAATTTTACTTGTGCGCCTCACATCACTTAGGCTCGCGCCTTGCCGTGCGCCTCGCGCCTAGGCTCCAAGGGACCTCTAGCGCCTCGGTGCGCCTTGGACTTTTAATAACTATGGGAGAAAGAGAATTCATGTCGCCGACCTCATTTAATATATGTTTTTATTTATATAAAAATGAGAATCTTGTAAGCTATTGTTACCAGGAGACTTATAATTTTATCTATGTAAATTGAGATTTTCTATATATGTTTATTGTTACATTAATTCATATCCGTTTCCGTATTTCTTTGCGTAATTCGTAAATTCTTATAATGTTTTTTTAGTACTTCGCTGTTCTATTTTCCTGTGGAGATGATGCTTCTCACCTTGACTTGAAATTTCTCTTTGACATTAATACATTATTATTGCTTTAGCTATTTATTTCTCCTACTCTGGCAAATAGCATATTGTACACGTTCTTAATATATTTTAAGCTGCTCCGTCTAGTGTGTTCTTCCAGGAAATTTTATGCAGTAACTTGAGGTGTTTGTTGTTCTATCATTACAGGTTGAAACTTTTGCTCAATTTGGTGTTATCTTCCTTCTATTTGCTTTAGGGCTGGAGTTTTCTTTGACAAAGGTCTATTGCTTTCTGCTTATGTTGTTCTCGTTAAGTAACTATCCTGCAGTAGCTTGTTCCGAAAATTTTGTAGTTATTTATAGATCTTTAAACTATTTCTTCTTTTATTTATTTTTAAAAAAATTAATACATTTTTCTTCATTTAGAGAAGTGATCCTAACTTGTCATTGATGCAGCTAAAAGTCGTGGGTCCTGTTGCTGTTCTTGGTGGGTTACTTCAAATAATTATACTTATGTTCTTGTGTGGGGTTGCTGCCTTGGTATAGTTCTGAGCATCAGTTTTTTTTTTTTTTTTTTCTTTTCTTTTTTTTAATCTTTCTGGTTCTAATAGATTTCTGAAGTTCTGAATCTGAAATGCATGCTAAAACTTGACTGCAGTTATGTGGAGCTAAGTTGTCAGAGGGCGTTTTTGTCGGTTGCTTCCTGTCAATGTCGTCAACAGCAGTGGTATATTTATTGACATCGTCTGATGTTATGCATTTCTCCTACTTCTTATGGTTGCTACAGTTTGATTATGGCTCAGTCTTGCCCATTTCTGTTCAACAGGTTGTAAAATTTCTGTTGGAAAAGAACAGTAATAATGCTCTTCATGGCCAAGTTACAATTGGGACACTTATTTTTCAGGTATTCTTTCAACTATTCAATCTCATATTGTAAGTCTATTAATAACTGAATGACAAGTTGAGGCATTGTGCTTGATTTTTTGGTGCGCATCCGTTCATTCCTTCACCATCGATTATTTCAGGATTGTGCTGTAGGTTTACTATTTGCCCTTCTCCCAATTTTGGGTGGTAACAGTGGCATTCTGCAAGGAATGATCTCAGTGGGAAAGCTGTAAGTTTAATCTCGTTCTTTAGGATGATAAATTTTTAATGATAGTGAAATAGTTGATTATCTGATGCATCCACTTTAATTTTTCAAGTTGATACATTCTTCGTCAGCATGTGCAAGTGCCAAACGCCCTCATATATACTTAACCCATTATTATCATTAATTTCAGGCTGCTGGTTTTGTCCATATATCTCTCTGTTGCATCTGTACTAACTTGGTCGTTTATTCCTCGCTTTTTAAAGCTAATGATACAGCTTTCATCTCAAGTAAGTAAATCACCTGTATTTCACTTCTACTTTTTCTGCTTTGCTCTAAGTGGAGACTTCTACACGAATGTAACAAATGCATATCATGTAATTCTCTAATTTGTTTATTTTTCACCAAGTCCATTTTTAAAAAATATAAAAATGTATCACTCTAATGTAAGGAATACCATGAATTCATAGTCATTTAACTTTTGGCACTGACCAGTGGAATTAGTGTAACTGGTGGCCATCTCTTAAATTGGTTGGATCCTGCAGTAACTAACAAAAGAAAGAAAATCAAACATTCAGTTTATCTAGGATATTCATCTGTTTGAGGTTATCAGACTTGTGGTGGCAAACTAGATAAGCAAGTTTAATGTTCAGCTTATTTAGATTACTCTCAGTTTGGCTGGTACGTATTTTTTAAGTATGTATTTATTTGTGATATTCATCTGTTTGAGGTTTATCAGACTTGTGGTGGCAAACTAGATGACCAAGTTTAATGTTCAGCTTATTTAGATTACTCTCAGTTTGGCTGGTACTTGTTTTTAAATTTGTATTTATTTGTGATCTTCAGACAAATGAACTTTACCAGCTAGCTATGGTGGCTTTCTGCTTGTTATCTGCTTGGGTAAGTTCAATATATCATACATTTTCTATTGTTTGGTTTATTATGGACAAGATGTACATATTTTTGCAATCTTTTAATATGAATGCTCCTTAATGTGTGGCTCATTTTTCATGCATTATTACTTCATAATTTTTTTAGTGATGTTTTCAGTATAATTTTTATCATATGTTCAATTCAATGATTTCTGAATGTTGTGGCCAAGTAAAGTTTCACCAGGTCAGGCTGAATATCAAATGGTTGAAAGGTTTGGATGGGAAAAAGATGTAGAGGGAATCAGAGCTTAAATCTTTTTGTTTGGAGTGAGAAGAATTAGAGGGGAAGCATTGGTTACTGAAACAAGTCGAAATGATTTAAGCACAAAACTTGAAAAATGTGGAAGCTAAAAATTTTCAAATGTTGTATTTAGAATAAAAATGTATGCCAAGTTATATGGGAGTATAAGTTATTGGGACAACAGTTGCAGGTATAAAATTTGGTTATGAGATAATTAGGACATCAAAATGTTGATGATTGTTGTGTAGTGAGCATGCAAAGTGGCCTAGCTGATAAGGGCAAGGAACACAATTTGACGTTTTTCGATGATGTATGGAAGTCATTTGTTGAAGTGGGTTTTTGGCATTTTGCGCAGTCAGAGCTTGTGAGAATTGTTTCTAGGGTTAGAGAGGAGAAGTAGAAGAAAAATAAGACGGACAAGAAGAAAAATAAAGAAATGTAATATGATGGTTGTAGGGTTTCTACACACCACCTCTCTTATATATATGTATATTGAGATAAGAAAATGACAATAATGCCCCAAAGTAAATAAGTAAAACACTAAACACTGTCTAACTCTAACACTCCCCCTCAAGCTGGAGTAAACAAATTAAACATGCCCAGCTTGAAACACAACTGTTGAAAGGCACCACGAGCTAACAGCTTTGTAAGAATATTACCCAGCTGATCATTGGAGCAAATATAAGGAGTAACAATCTGTTTGCGCATCGACAGATCGGGAATAAAATGACAATCAACCTCTATATGCTTGGTACGCTCATGAAAAACAGGATTACTATCAATAAACATAGCTGCTTGATTTTCACAATGCATCGGCATAGGAGATGGAACATCGGTACCCATCTCTTTAAGAAGAGAGCGAACCCACAACATCTTAGAATATGTGTGAGCCATAGCAAGATACTCTGCCTCAACACTAGAATGAGCAACGACGTTCTGTTTTTTACTTTGCCAAGTAACAAGATTACCGCCAACAAATGTGCAATAACCAGATGTAGAGTCTGTCAGAGCGTTTTTCAGTCCAGTCTGCATCGTTAAAACTGATCACAGATAAGGAGGAAGAAGGCTTATACAACAGCCCACTTCCTCGCGCACCCTTTCAAGTAACACAGAATACGACAAATAGCCTCAAAGTGAGGTTGATGAGGAGCTTGCATATATTGACTAACCACTCCAACAACATGAGTAATATCGGGGCAAGTAACAGTAAGATATATTAATTTCCCAACAAGACGATGGTATCGTCCAACATCAGTAAACAACTCCCCCCCTGCTCACCATCAAGTTTGATGGTAGAGTCCATAAGAGTAGCACCTAAGAGACGAGTCTCGAAAAGAAGATCAAGAACATATTTCTGTTGAGATAGTGAGATTCCCTGATGCAAGGAAATAGCGAAGTGCACCCAGGTCTTTAGTATGGAATTGTTTACCCAAATGGCTTTTAACTCTGTGATTCCTATGGCATCACTTCCAGAGATGATAATATCATCAACATAGACAATCAAGACAGTGGTGCCTTAGAAGAATGACGAACAAACACAGAATGATCAGAAGTGGAGTGCTTAAAACCATAATCAATCACCATAGTGCTAAATCTATCAAACCAGGCACGGGGAGATTGCTTTAGACTATATAGAGCCTTTTGCAGGTGACAAATGAGGTGCTCGGTACCAGTAACAACATAACTAGGCAGCTGATCCATGTAAACTTCCTCCTGTGGATCGCCATGAGAAATGCACTCTTTATATCAAGCTGATATAAAAGCCAAGAACAACAGATTGCCACAGATAGAAGAACATTGACAGTTAAGACGGGCTATAGGAAAAAAGGTCTCTCAGTAATCAACCCTATAGGTTCGAGTGTACCGTTTGGCAACCAAATGCGCCTTAAGACACTCAACAGAACCACCAGGATGATATTTAACAGTATAAACCCAATGACACCCAACAGTTCGTTTCCAAGAAGGAAGAGAACTAAGTTCCTAGGTCTGATTCTTGTGAAGAGCACTCATTTCCTCATCCATAGCGTGTTTCCATCCAGACATAGCAAGCCTGCTCATAAGATAAGGGAATAAAAATAAAGGACATGGTAAAAGGAAAAGATTGCAAGGTGGAGGAAAGACAATGATAAGGCACAAAATTAGCAATGGGATGTTGAGTACAAGTACGTTTACGTCAACACAGTGCAATTGGTAAATCATCGTAAGTGGAGGGTGGAGGAACAGGAACCTCTGGTGGAGAAGATGCCATGTCTGGACTATAAGAAACAACCGGCCGAGATCTGGATCGCTAATTAACATGCACTGGGGAATTAGAAGGTAGAGGTAATGGCATTGGCAGTGTAGGAGAAGAGACGGAATGCTCCCCCTCACGAGGAGATATGAGATCTAGAGACATTCTGGCACACGATGAGAAGAAGGCAGTAAACTCAAAAAACGTCACTGACAAGGTATTACCGAGATTCAGGACTGTAACAACGATACCCCTTTTGAGGGCGGGAGTACCCAAGAAACACACACATAGGCGCACGAGGGGACAGTTTGTCATGCCAAGAAACACACATACACGCACGAGGGGACAGTTTGTGAAATCAGTTTATTTATTTTTTTAGGCCTTTTATCAACTTAAAATATCACTTTGATTGAATCTCCCTGACCTTCTAGACCCAAATAAAAAAACCATTTTATGTTATCATATATATATATTTTTTTATATAGAAAATAAAAAATAAAATAGAAAAAAAGAAAAAAAGAAAAGAAGTAGAAGAAGAACAAAAGAGAAGTATCTAGGAATACCATAAAACAAATTACTAACTGAAAGCTTGTAAGGAAGACGAGAATCCATTACTTCTCTAATTGTTAGAAGATCCAAAGCTTTTAAGCAATATTCTAGCATTACTTTCTGCCCAATTACCCCTCTGATATGACCTCCAAAATGCCAATTCACTAGAATTTACATTTTCAGCTAATGGCCAAACTAACCAAAAAAAAAAAAAAAACACATGTTCCCCACTAATGAAGAAATATTTTCCACACAGCAAACATGCATTACTGAATTACTTTAGCAGAATGTCTGGAACTCCCACAATGTATGCATTGTGACATAAGTGTTAGGCATTGAATGGGACTGCCTCCATGACCGCCTAATAATCTTATAAATGAAAATGCTGTAATTCATTGGGTGGAATATGTTGAAAACCAAATTTTTGAAATTGAATTTGAATTATGAACATATTTATCAATCTAGTTGAACTGAAATAGACCAGTTGCAACATTTAAAGAATTATGTTCATAACTTGAACCATGTGTCTTTTAGATAGTTTTTACAAGATCCTTGAATATGATATGTTGTTGGTTAATGGGTTTTTGCAAATATACTCAAGATCCAAGCATGTGAAGCATTTGATGCATAAACAGTTATTCTGAGCTCTAGCTTTTAAGACTTGTATGAGGGAATCAGCTACTTGAAATTTTGAAACTTTTTCTCATTGCTATTTTAATTCTCTGGTATGCCCTTTAAATTTTTCAGTGCAGTGATAAGCTGAACCTTAGTCTTGAGTTGGGTTCTTTTCTGGCTGGAGTTATGATATCTACAACTGACTTTGCACAACACACATTGGATCAGGTGCTTTTCTTGGCAACTTGCTAGTAATGTCATTGATCTTGATGCATTTAGCATGCTAGTCTCAAATTATTTTTTCAGGCTATAGTATTTCAGCAGTCTGCGTTAGTAAGTCATCCTTTGGTTGACAATGGACATACTACTACATTAAAATTTCAGTAACTTTGTATGTCACAGTTTTGAGGTTTATGCTGTAATAATAAACTTCCTGGAGAGAATTGTTTAACTTCCTGCATTTTTTTTCTCTCTTTCCTGGAACAAAATTCTCCTTTTCAGTTATTTCATCTTTCTCATACATTTACACTGTTGCGTGGGTGGATTGGACAGCTTGGACTATCAAGTGAGAAAATGCATAAATAAAATTGGTGGTATTGGTTTGTGCCCAAATCTAGACCTCCCCAGTGTTGTTTAAGGCGCGCCTAGGCTCGAGGCGCAGGTCTAGCGCCTGTTGTCATCCCAGGCTCATTGATGTTTACTAGGTGCTCTTCTCGTCCTGTTTGTCAGGCGCGCCTCACTGATTTTTTTTAAAAAAACTATGGTTATTCTATTTCTTAAGCCAAAAAGGGTACTTTTGGCAACCTAATAAACAAATAAGAAAGCCCAAGCGTACGAGAGAAGAAACTTTTGTTCAAAAGAATAAACAAATAAGAAAGTCCAAGAGTCAAAGTGTCAACCGAACAGAGAAAGAGTGAGACCGTGAGACGAACGACGAAGCCCTAGTTGCAGAGATGAACGAAGAAGCCACGTCAGTTCTTTCTTCTACTTCTCTCTCCTCCTTTCTTATCTTTGTTTACATCTCTCCTTCTAGTTCTCTTCTCTCTATCTATCTTCTTCTTCTTCTTCTTCTTCCTCTTCTTCTGTTTTTTTTTTTTTTTTTTGGTTAACAGATTTATTTCTTTTTGTGCTCTGTTTTGCCACTCAAAAAACAAATTCTGCTTTGCCTTTCAAGAAAACAAATTTGTGCTCTGTTTTATGGTTGTTGGATGCTTGTTTAGTTGATGGATTTACTTTTTTATATTTGATATTAATATTTAGAATATTGATATGACTTATGAGATATGAATGTTTTAATGGTAGTTTAAATTTTCAATCGTGCGCCTCACTTCACTTAGGCGCGTGCCTCTCGCCTAGGCTCCCAAGGACCTCTAGCGCCTTGGTGCGCCTTGGGCCTTTAATAACACTAAGCGCTCCCGACACAAGATTTTTCGGACTAGAACTGGGTGACATTTTTTACCCATATGATCTAGGTGTAGAACAATTAAAGGAGAAGAAATGGAAATGAACTGAATCCAAATGATTGCAAAAGAATTGGATGCTATAGTTCTAGCAAATGAATTGGTGGAATTAAGTCCATAAAAAACTCAAGAGAAAGCAAATTTAGAGGAGAGTAATTTCATGATTTGGTACAATTTAAGGCAGGCCCAATTGGTACTCTGCATAATTATGTTTTGAGGACATCAATTCTTATTTTATATTTTCTGAAGTTAGCTTTCGCTTTAATTATTTGTGATTTATTAGGATATGGAAGGCAAGGCTTCTTGGTAATTTCTAATTGTCTGGATGTTGGTTCATGGGTCTTGTTTGCTCATGTTATTAGTTCTTTACTTGGCTTAGTTTTTAAACTAGGAGTTATTCTAAGACTTTTTTCTTTCACTCTTCTTTAAATTCTTGCGTCTTTTAAGCCTTTGGAACCCATTGCCACACTTGGGTAGCCTTTTTTTACCCTCTAAAATCCCATTTGACAAGCCTTATTGGACGAATCCCTTTCATCCAATCAATCAATCTGGCACACAAAACAATTTCAAAATAGCCTTTTTTAAGGTTCACATCTACTCTTCACAGCCCGGGAACTTCTTCTTTCCGAAACCTGTAAAAGCCTTCCATGCACCCTTGCAAACCCTAATTCTTCATTTGCTCATGAACCCTTACCTACAGTGTTTAAGCTCTTTTAATGCTGCCTTACATTAAGCTTTGTCTCATAGTTCATTGGAAGGAGGGGGCATCTCTGCACTTGCAACCATCATGTTGTTTCATCTTTGTCATTTATACCTTGGTTTTTGTGGACTATTCAACTGTGTTTCAAATTCAAGCCATTTACTCTCTCTCTCTCTCTCTCTCTACACATTTTTATGAGTACTCATGTCATTTACATTCACTGTGAAAGGATTTGGGATCAGAAGATCTCTGTTAACCAGTTTCAATTAGATTCCTGCATTTTTTTGAGTTTTTTGACTCACTCCTTATAAGTGTCAAATATGCTGTTTTTCTTGTTGTAGGTGGAACCGATCCGTAATCTATTTGCTGCTCTCTTCCTTTCTAGCATTGGAATGCTCATACATGTACACTTCCTGTGGCTTCATGTGGATATATTGCTAGCTTCTGTTATCCTGGTTATTGTTGTTAAGACCACAGTTGCTGCTATGACTACGAAGGCCTTCGGATATAGCATTAGAACATCATTTGTTGTAAGTTGACTTTTTGAATTTTTTTTTTTTGGGGGGAACGAGATAAACTTGTCTTAATCAGGACTTGAACCTTGTACCTCTTACCATGGTGGTAACAAGAGATGCCACTTAATGGTGTCCTGCCTACGCGGGGTGATGGGAGGGGAATAGTGTAACCAGGCTCAACCTTTAACATTGTTTTTTGCACAAAGTTGATCCTCTTGGGAAAACTAACAGCTGGATTTGACTTGCTAAATTTGATTAAATTTGTTAGTGGTGAGGGCTGTTGTGTGGTTCAGCGGTAAAACGCTTGAGCAGCAATGCCACAGGCTAGATCGAGCCTCAGAGCAGTCATTTTGTGAAATACGAAAGATTAAGTCTATCGAGTCCTCCCTCCTCGGGACCTTGTTGTGGCATGATTAGAAATGGAGAAATGTCACCTTTTTTTTAAACTTATGCTCCGTTTGGTAGGAAGGAAGAGGGGTGGAGGGAAGATAAGAAAGAAGGAGCTTGCCCTGGCCCACAAATTTTAATCCCTCCAAACATAGCAATGCATCACCTCATCCATTCTTTCTACTATCCCTTCCATTCAACCAAACAAAAACGAAGGAAGACGCCTTCCCTCCCCAAGGGATGCTTCATCCATCTCTCCCCATCTCTGTCCATCCATTTTTCCCTCCCTCCTACATACAGAGCATTAAATATGTAACTAATTGATTTATTGTTTTCAATCTATTTTGCAGGTTGGAACATTGCTTGCTCAAATTGGTGAATTTGCTTTTGTTCTTCTGAGTCGTGCCTCAAATCTGCATCTTGTTCAGGTGCTTTCTCTCTCTCAATACATATGCATGCTATATCCTTAACATGATTCAACTCAACGAGCCATTATCTTTTTCTTTTTCTTTTTTAAATCTAATTTCATTTAAGGCACTCAAGAGGAGAGCACTCCCAAGAGAATATACATAAAGCCAAGAAGGCCAACTATAACTTTAAACTATCAATAAAATCCACAAAATCTTTCACAGATTTGCAATTTTGCCCATTATTTACCCAAAAGAATTTAAAAAAACTCAAAATGGCATATTTTAGAGACCAAATAGGGGTCTCCTCTCCATCAAAGAATCTCCTATTTTTCCCACGCCCACAAACCCCACCATAAACAAAGGGGAGTGGCCCTCCAAGCATCTCTGACTCGGCTATCCACTATACACCCTTTCCAAGCCTCAATCATGTCAACCGTAGAACCGGGAGATAGCCAAAACATACCGAAACATACTTGGACTTGACATCACGAGTTCATGTTTTTGAGGTGGTTCCTTGTAGAGTCACATTAAATGTTAAAGCAAAGACAGTATTTCCTTTATCACAGATTTTATTATTTTGAAAATGCTTAATCCCTTTCTTTGTTACAATTTAGCTTTATTAGTAATGTATTTGCTGTGTATAATGTGTCTATATTCTTCAACGATGATACACTAATCTCATGGTTATGCTTTTACACTGATCTTGTGAAATGAAATTTAAGGGCATGATAAGAATTTGTGGATTTGTAGAACGGTGATTAGAATTTATACTTGATCTGGCTACTTCTTCTATTTGATACTTCAAATGCAAATCGAGCTGGTACGAAGTTACTCACCACCTACATATTGACTTGTTGATTGCTCCAGTTGTTTAACCATCTTCGAACTAATTTTAGGGATACTGATACATTCCATAACTTAATGGGAGCTTGAACCAAGCGAATTAGAAACTTTAACTTGTTATTCTTATTGATTCATACTTATCTGGTACAATAAAAAATTTCAGCATGATTGATATTTGTAGATTAGTATCTTTATTCATAGTTTTGATATGATCTAGTTAGTTTCCTCAGCTAATTGATGCGTTTCGAGATGATCTGGTTATTTTCCTCAACTAATTGATATGTTATATGCAATTCGAGTTGGTCCAGACTTCACAATTGTTTAATACCTGATTATTGACTCCTTTACTATTTGTAAGGTTTAGTCATCTGGTTCAGACTTACTTTAGTGATATGTGATGCATTTGATACGTTTTAACGGATCTTCAACCAAAAATAATACCTTTTTTGAAAATTTAAAGGATCTTAAACCAAACATAATACGTATTTTGAAACTTTAACTCATCATTTCCAATGAAATTACATTTAGAATTGTTTAATTCCTTTGTACATTTACTATTTTCAAATCTTCACACCCAGAGGATCTCTTCAGGTCGTCCTTTATCCAAATCCATCTAACAACAACTCAATCCAATCGAGCTCTGCTTCTTTCGTTTGGAGCTACTTTTTGATACCAATCAATCCACTTCAGTCGTTCGTTTGAGTCTTGAATACTCAATAAGTAAGCGTTGATGTTGACGTTGTGTGCACAACACCGCTACAATTGTATCAACACTCAAATAACATCATAATCACCATATCTAATGTAGGACGATATGTATGAATGATGAAAAATGATATAGATATGAAATCTATCTGTATGGATGCTAGACACCCTCACAATATGCACTCTCACACAGAACACTTGAGGATACATAAACAAATAAAATATTGAAAAAGCTTTCAATAAGAATCACTATGCTTTTTTCTATGCGACACACTAGGTTTTGTATAAACTCTAGTATTTATAGAGAACTAAACTTGTTTCCTAAGTCCAAGACTTCTAGGTTAAGAAAACCCAGTTTAGGAAACTTTTCCCGAGCTTTTTGAGTCATGCGATGGATACTTGTAGGACTTCAATCAATCGATGAACATAGTCACTTCCATTGTGTACTATATAGGTTACTATGATCAATATTTCTTAAGCTGCAATCGATCGATGAAATCTAAACTTCGATCATGACAAATCTTCTTGTAATCGATGCTAACACTAGCTGTGATCGATCCACTTGTATGAAGGTTCTAGAAATTTGTTTTCTTGATGCACAAGCGATGTCTAAGTTATCGAAACTTCGAACTTGACAAAATAAGCACGGATGCATGTTTAGAAAACTTTTTGTTGATAATTCCCAAAGTAGGTTTAACAAAACTTGTAAACTTAACATATATGGCCTATGCATGTAAAAAGAAACAATTATATATATGTGTGTGTGTATATATATATACACCTCATACAATACTGTACAACAATATATATATATATATATATATATATATATATATATATATATATATATATATATATTGTTGTACAGTATTGTATGAGGTGTCACACGTGTGCAGTTAGATTACATTGTATACTAGGGTTTTCTGTATTCTGTATCCGTCTTCACCTACTACTCATTACCATATATAGCATTACTATGTATAAGGTTTACTTGTTCTCCACTCACCTACTCCTGCTGCTTCTCCTATATAAACACCGTTGTATTATTGTATTATTTACTCAATAATATATTATCTCTCTCTTTTTCAACATGGTATCAGAGAGGAAATCGATCCCTCTTAAAAAAAATTTTATAGTCTTATTCAGACTCCGATTTTGATTCCATCTCAGCTTTCTATCAGCAATCTCTTCTCGGTGATCTCTCCTAGGTAATCTTGGTTCTCGTCTGGGCAATCTCTTTCGGATCCCTCCTCGGCTCTCTCCTCGATAATTTCTCTTGGGTTCATCTCGGCTTGATCTTGGTTCTCTTATCTCGGCTCCCTCTTGCTACTATGTCTCATTTGTTCGACAACTCTTATTATGGATACCAAGGGGTAATAGAGATGCGGCTTGAGTCCATTAGTCTGACCATTCACCGGAGTCATGAACTCCGGTGAAATCCTCTGTTACTTTTCTTTGCTCTCCTTTTTTCTCTGGTGTTTTGCTTTTAGGGGGTTTTTCGTTTCTTGTTTCCTTGTTCTCATTTGGCTGCTTTCATGAGAGTCGTCGATGGCTAGAAGCTGTCGTTTTTGGAGGTCACAAGCCTCCCTTGTCTGGATCTACAAGGAGAGGTGGAGTGTGTATCTTGATTCAGAGGGCATGTTTTTAGGGTGGACAATCACAACACTTCCACTCGCAAATTGATGCTCAAGTCTTGCCTTGTTGGGAGATTTGACAGTGATGCGGGGTCTTTGGACGAGATTGAAGAGTGGGCTATGAAGACATGGAGGATCTCGTGTGGGTTAGGGTTTCTTCTTTGGCTGATGGTCTTCTGTTGTTCCGATTCCCGTCGATTAAGGAGGCACAAAAGGTACTTGATAGGGGAAAGAAAACATGGGGCGATGCGCAACTGTTCATCGACCTATGGTGTTATAGGGTTGGGTGTTTTGGGTTGAGAAAGAAGACTAATCGCCGGAGAGTCATCGTGTACGGTCTTCCTTTGCATCTATGGTGTCAAAGCTATTTGTTGCAATTGGGGATTTATGTGGAGGGTTTTGGGATGTTGAGGCGTATGAAATAAGCGACACAGAGAGGATTGTTATTATTGTGGTTGAAGGCAGCGAGATCCCGGAGTCCATCATCGTGGAGGACAGGTGGTGGGTTTTCAGAATTTCATAACAAAAGAAATCGCTCCTTCCCTTGTGCCATTTTCCAAGTCCTGTGTCGGAAGTGAAGGTTCGAGGCCATCTGTGGTGTTGGAAAGAAGGAAGCGACCGTCCCGCAGGCCTGGGACTGGGTACTGGGTCTGGGAGTGTGTCGGAGGTTCAGAAGATGGATCTGCAGGACCGTCGAACTCAAGGACAGGGACGCGTGAAGTTGAGTGCGCCAAAGGTGAGTGGGATTGGGAGAGACGTTAGTGGGACACGTGGTTGGCGGACAGCTGCCTCCTGTTGCAAGTGGATGACAGCTGCTTCTACACATGAAGGGGCACGCGAGAGTAGGGGATATTTGAGTTCTGCATCTGATGGGCCTGGTGAGATTGGGCCTAGACAGCGTGGGCCTATGTAGATTGGATCGTGGGTTGACAAAGCTTCAGAAAGTTGGGTCGGGTGTGATAGGCCCAAGTCATTTGGGCCAACCTCTTATCCTAGGCCTGCACATGCTAAGTCCAAACACAAAGGCAGAAGAAATAGGGTGGTGAGCTGGGCCCAAACAAATGCTTAACTGTTTCTATCAATGTATTGCAGCCCAGCACAACTTTTGTTAAGGTGCCCAGTAAGGTTTCTCAAGGCATTATCCATGATTTGGCACAACAGAAGTCGGACTTAAGGTATTGGTCGCGATCGGAGAAGGAGCATTGGGCAAAGGTGAGTGTGAACAAGAAGAAGGGTGCTGGTTTGATATCGAAGAAGTTTTGGCACGGTGAGTGCTGTCAGAACTTGTTCTCTGGTAACAGATTTGGACCGCTTCAGTCGGGCTCTCTGTGATGTCGAGTATGGTAGTTGTCCATCCATCAAAGATGATTGTCAATCGTCGATTAGATCGCATAAGTTCGGTAAAAGATGGACTAGAAAAGACAAGCAAAAAATGGGTCCGCCCGTAAGGTTAATCATTCAGATCCTGGTATGTACCCTTCATAGTTGTCAAAGGCGCCGAAGGCGCTCGCCCGAGGCGCGCGCCCGAGGCGCAAGACGCATACAGGCGTGGTAATTGCGCCTGTAGTACAGCCAGGCGAAGCCCTTTGATGAGGCGTGCGCCTTTAGTGTACAGCGAGGATCCCGAGGCGCAAGGCGGGCGCGCCTGATTAAAGTTTCTTTTTAAATGTATTTTTACTTGCAGGTTATAAAAGGGAAAAGGTATATATATACCTTATAAGAGTTAGTACAGGCTGTGGAAGTCAACTTTTGACCAACTTGACCCAAAACAAAAAGGAAAATAAATAAAAACAAAAAGGAAAGTTAATCAGAAAGAGAAAGAGAGTGAATGAAAAG